GGATATAATCACAGACTTTTTCAGCATCAGCAAAACTCTTCTTGTGTTGCCCAGGAAAGTAATCCATTATTTTTGGAACAGTATTGTACACCTGTCACAGAGCTCATGTTAAACACTATACCTTTTCAGACCATTATGCTGGAGGCTTAATGCTCCAAATATTCAGAGAGTAACTTTTACTGTGATATTGCAAAAAGGCAAGAACTACATGGATTTCAGTAAGCTATCTAGTCTCAAGTAAATACAGCATCCTGGCAATTATAATAGGAATTTATATTTATAGTAAGTTAGTCTCTTTGAAAAACTTTCCCTCAGATCTCTCGTCACTTCAGCTGAGTTCCATTTAGGAGATAATCTGTCAAGTGACTCATTCACTGCTTTCCTAGCCCCCCCCCCCACTCCCTCACACTAATGGATAATTGTGTAAATGGTCATAGTCCTTGAAATGGGGAAGAGGGACTCTAGCTATGAGCATAAAGATATGGGAGCTGTTTCAAAAAGCAATGATAAGGAGAGATGCACATGTCCACAATCTGACATGATAATTAGTACTGCTAATACTATTTATAGCTGTGTGTGTAGCATTGCAGTTTTTTTTTAAGATACATAATATAATAATATCGCTTTTTAGTTCAATTGGAATACTGATATTGTCCTTATAACACAAATCTAATGGCATGGGGGTAAAATGGATATGGTTGTCATCTGTTTGAAGCCCTACAGAAACAACAAGGAAGTATGTATGGGTGCCAATGTTAACTTTTCAGTCAAGGGCTGAAAGGTAACAGTGAAACATTAACATTGAGAGTCATCGGCCCCCTCCAGTGAAATTCCATGTTTGGACCTCCCTGGCAAGGTAAGAAGTGAGTGAGTACAAGAAACATGCAGGTCAGGGCCCAAATGAATTATTGCTCTGACGACCAGAGAAGGGAATGGTCCTTGTAAGCCCAGCCAGGAGAGGTGAACTGGGAATTGGTTGGTGTTTGGATGGCTCCGTCTCACTGATGTCCAGATTTGGCTTCCCCTGCCTAGTAGCTCATCACATCTAGTGTTCATATCTCAGACCTGAACATTTGCACACACCTACAAAGCTGCTAGTAAAAGTGGGGCTTCATGACAGGAGAAGCAACAGAGAGAACTACCATACCAGTGCTAGGAAACTTTGAAGCCATCTTATTTGAGACTCCATAATCTGCTGGTTCTCTATGAAGATTTGATCTTCGTAATCAAATCGATTGCCAAAGACGACTGCGCAGATCACATTAGAAACAGCACTGGTAAATCTTCTTCTTGGGTCAAAAGGTTGCCCTGCAAGAAAGGCCACAGAAAGGTATGAGTGGGATGAGAAAATGCGGATATTCCCTTCCAAAAATCTCACCACAAAACTGGAACAAAAAATGTTTCAGATCAAACAGGTTTGAATGAATATTCTTTCCCTCTGTCCTAAGAACTGATTATGAATACTATTTAAAAATCCTATAACCTCTTAAGCAAGATACAAAGGAGTGTTTCCACATTCCACTCTGGAATCCATTAAATCCATTATTGATAATTTTTGACAATAAAATTAACTAAGCAGCAGAGCCTGTATGTAATTTAATGAAATCCCAGCCTATGTTACCACTAGAGTTTCTTCACAGTCTCATTGCTGTCTTCCTCTGTCAAGAATTGTTTCCTCCCTGCTGGGGGCTCCTTCCTCTGCCTCTTTCTGCTCATGGCTGGTTTTTCCACTTTCTCCCTTCCCCTGTTTCACCTCTTTGAATGCTCTGCTTTCCGTTTTAACTGAGCTCTCCTCTCTCTCTGCCCCTCTCTCCTCCTAATCTCTTTTCCCCCCTCTCTCTGTTTCCTCTTTTTATCTATCTCTTTTTTAAAATAACCCCACTTTCTTTTCTTTCCATTTCTTTTCCCTTCTCATTCCAGAGATTTCTCCATTCAGAATGATATTCAAAGGTGCCACCACTCTCTAAATGAAGACTATTTATGGCCGTTTAATTCAAATCCACAGTGCCTTTAAGATCTCCACCCCTCCTGCAAACCACCTATTGTTATCTGCTTCATGCCTATAAGAGCAAATTATTATCCATGTTTTCCTTACTGCCCTTAGATTACCTGTCTCATTCATCCATGAGGTGCTTTGCTGGCTGTTGAATTTGCCTGAAGTGTGATTTAGCATTAGGTTCAAATGATTTTTAAAAAAAAGTTTCTGCTTCTTTTTCCAGTTTTAACTGAGCACTCTGTTCCCTCCATCTCGCTCTCCTTCTCATCCATCCAAAAAACCTGGCTAAACATAACCATAGAGAAAAAAACAGGCTTAGCCTGTTTTTTATGCAATTACCACATTAAATAGCTTCCTAGCACCTACTGTATGTTCTCTTGGTTACTGCATCCACAGTAAGATTTCACTACTTCTGCGCAAACTTGTAATTTTATGAAGCCAAGGGCTGACTCTGGAGAGAAAAGAAGAAGGAACAGCTGGAAAGCTGTTGTATTTCTGTGTGTATTTTTGCCTTTGCTCCTGAGCACCACTGGGGAAAAAAGGAGGGGGCACTCACTTTTCACTGCCTATCCTCCTTTTTCTTTATTTTTTGCACTTAAATGCAGAAGGATTTGCATCTCATTTCAGAATCTAGTTTTCCTGCAACTTCACATAGTACAAAACCCCTTTCCAGCTTCTTTTTTATACACTTCCTGAAATTATTCTTCTGAAGGAGAAGAGCTTTCAGTTTCTCTAGAAGACCTTTTGTGGTAGCCACTTCCTCCGCTAGACAAAGGGCTTCCTCCTGCACCCTTTCAGACATCCTTTTCTTCCCCATCCCAAAATCTCGCAAGGTGGACAGTGTGAACCGTCGCAGCTCCCTCCATTTGTTGTCATCATTGGTGGCCAGACCTGAAACCAAAGACACAGGAAAGAGATCACAATGTCTGTTAGTCAGCTTTTGTGGAGGAGCATGTTTAGATATCAATGATGGTTTCAGGCACTTTCCCCCTTCAGATCTTTGCCTCATTCATAGTTGAAACAGGGCAGTGCATTGCAATAAATTGTGCATCACAATATTTTCCCTCCCCACTCTTACAGTAAACAAGCCTTGATGCTTGAAATGCTAATTAACTGAACTACATAGTTTCCATCTTTCCATTCTTCACTACTGTCATGTTAAGAGAAGAATGAATGAGGCTGTGAAAATCACAAGTTTCTATAGGTATGATATGGATAGGAAGAAATCTCTATACCAGACATGGGCAGAATTCTGTACTGAGATGCAATTTTCAGTAAGCAGAAGAAAATTGGAGTTGCTTCAGTTCTGGTATTTTTGTGCAGAAGAAGTTTCATTGGCAAAAAGAAGGCACTTCCCATTTCTTGCTTACTTGATTACTTGATTATGTGTCATCAAGTTACTGTCAGTTCTTAGCAACCACATAGATTTTCTCCATGATGATCTGTCCCTAACCTAGTCCTCCAGGACTTCCAATGGTACACTCCTCACTATTGTAACTGAGTCCATCCACCTTGTGGATGGCCATCTTCTTCTTCTCCTTCCTTCCACCTTTCCCACCATTACAGCCTTCTCTAGAGAGCTGGGCCTTTGCACAATCT